AAGTATGGGAGTATTTCACATTAAAACAAAACAACGTAGTTGCCTGCCAGCTTTGCAAAATGTAGCTAGCATATCACAGCAGTACAACTGTAATGCACGAGCACTTGAAGCACAAACATCCTGGAGCACAGACTTCACACAGCAGCGTAACGGCACGGTAAGATTTGCCTTTAAGTGAGTTCAGTTTAGCACTGGAACAAGTTTGATTTAAAAAAAACTAACCTGAGTCATCAAATAAGGTGCGCTGTCTGTGTGAATATAATGTTACAGTTCTTAATGTTCTGTACACGTTTCACTGGTTCCCACAGGCGTTCAGGAGTTGGTGATGAGGAAAGATGTTCCTGAAGAACAGAGACCTGATGTGGACCAGCAGGATCAAAAACATGCCCACATAAAAGAGGAAGAGGAGGAACTGTGGACCAGACCGGGAGAAGAGCAGCTCACTGTGAAGGAGGAGAATGATGACACCGACTGTTCGTTCACGTCCTTTCGTTTGAAGGCTGAGGATGATGAAGATGAATCAGCAGCTGGTGAGGAGTCCTGTGGAGGAGTAGAACCTACAAGAAAGCCAGATCTGAGTACTTATGATGATGATGATGATTCTGACTCCTCAGTAACTGAAGTCAGTGAGGATGAAGAAGATGATGATGTGTACCATTCTGACTCTCAACTGGAACACTTTGCAGACTCTGGGTCAAAAACTGAAGACACTGATAAAGACTGGGAGCCTTCGCCCAGCAGGGTTCCTAAATCACGTGTAAAAAACAACAAAAACGAACAGAAGCTATTAAGTTGTTTTTTGTGTGTTAAACAGTTTACAGAAAAAGGCAACTTGAACAGACACATGAAAATCCACACAGGAGAGAGGCCGTTTTGTTGTGATCGTTGTGATAAAAAGTTTAAGGAAAAAGGCAAATTGAACAGACACATGAAAATCCACACAGGACAGATGCCGTTTTGTTGTGATCTGTGCGATAAAAAGTTTCCCGAAAAGAACAAATTAGGCAGACACATGGAAATCCACAAAAGACAAAGGTCATTTTGTTGTGAGCTGTGTGGGGAAAAGTTTAGCCAAGAGGGAGTTTTAAACAAACACATGGTAATCCACACAGGACTGAGGCCATTCAGTTGTGATGTTTGTGATCGAAGGTTCATGCAAAAGGGAGATTTAAAGAAACACCTGAAAATCCACACAGGACTGAGGCCATTCGGTTGTGAGCTGTGCGGGCAAACCTTTATTGACAAGAGTAAACTGAACAGACACAGGAGAATCCACACAGGAGAAAAGCCATTTTGTTGTGATTTGTGTGAACGAAAGTTTGGTGAAAAGGGAGGTTTGGACGCACACAAGAAAATCCACTCGGGACACAAGCCGTTTTGTTGTGATCTGTGTGATAAAAGGTTCACCCAAAATGGAGATTTGAAGAAACACATGAGAGTCCACACAAAAGAAAAGCCATTTTGTTGTGATTTATGTGACTTGCGGTTTTCCTCAAAGGACAGTTTAAACAGACACACGAAAATCCACGTAGGACTGAAAGCTTTTTGTTGTGATTTATGTGACCGAAGGTTTATTACAAAGGGTGATTTCGACAGACACACGAGAACCCACACAGGACAGAAACCTTTTTGTTGTGAGCTTTGTGGGCAAAGGTTTAGCCGAAAGGACTTTTTAAACAAACACATGAGAACCCACACTGGAGAAAAGCCATTTTGTTGTGATTTTTGTGATCAAAGGTTTATCCAAAAGCCAAGTTTAAACAAACACATGAGAATCCACACAGGACAGAAACCATTTAGATGCGATTCATGTGACCGAAGGTTTATTACAAAGGGTGATTTAGACAGACACATGAGGACCCACACAGGACAGAAACCTTTTTGCTGTGAGCTTTGTGGGCAAAGGTTTAGCCGAAAGGACTTTGTCAACCTACACATGAGAACCCACACAGGAGAAAAGCCATTTTGTTGTGATCTGTGTAAACAAAGATTTAGTCAAAAAAGCAGTTTAAATTCACACATGAGAATCCACAGAAAACAAAGTAGTCTTTAGGTGAGATACTACAAAGGAGGAAAAAAAATCACTGTTTTTGTGCAGGTAGATATGCACCAAACAATGTAAACTTGTAACTTGGTTTTTTTGAACTTGCAAGTTTGATTTGTGCAACTGTAAGAAATACGTGTTTAATATCGGCTGACAATCAGATGAAAACACAAATGTTAAATAAAATGATCTGTAATAGGAAATAAATGTCATACAACACCAGAATTCTGGATCTGAGTGAGATTTATTTGTCACCGGACTGACAAGCCAAACCACACTGAATGAAAAACAGGAAGTCCCCTGTAAAATACAGTCCAGGAATCTTCAATGCCTGATGTCGCCCTCTGCTGGCCTACGGCTGAATCACAGGCATTCAGACAAAAAACCTCACACTTATGATATCCCAGCTTTTAATTATGTGTTGTTAATAATTCGGGCATGTATCTACTCTATTTCAATTAACACATAATAGATCAAACATTATAACAATGTTTATAATAAGAAACCCTTAAATACACTGGTGTTTCTGAAGTCGGTACTGATCTGTAATAATTATAAATTTCTTCACAACTGTAGGAAAATATTTAACTTAGAATTTCACCTGCAAAAACAAAATAATTTGTAAATGTAAAGTCACAGAAAATATTGGTTTACAAATGTGTAAAATTACATTCCTGAAAATATTCTAAGAAATACTCATAATTTATAAAAAAAAWATTTCCTGCTACTGTATTTTAAGTACAGCCTCGCCTTCAGCTGTCCTCACACAGGTGACTCCTCTGCTGCGTGTGCACAACTTCCTTTCTGCATGTCACATTTTTGCAACACATTTTGCATGTTGCTTTGTAGCAAAAGTCATCCGTGACTGAACAGGTGCGAGTAGGTTGGGGATACAGGGTAAGTGTTGATAGTGCAAAATAAGTGTGTTCTGTATCAACCAATGAGAAGGAGAAAGCTGAGCATCTCTTGTTTTCAGTCAGTTGGACTCGGCCTCCATCTCTCATCTCAGCTTTCAGACATGTCTACAATTGAAATAATGTTCTGTTATTTTAGTGCAGAGATACAGTGTTCATATCAGTGTTGAATGTTATTTTTAGATGTTTCTGGAAAACATCATTGKTTCTTGCAAATGTGAAATGCTGATTGCTGACTGGAGATGGGTATATTATAATTATACTTAAGTAAACATTTTGGTTGTCTGTACATTGATTATTTTTCAGCTGACCTCTCATGTTTTAAAAATAGCCTTGCTACACCTACTTAATTTTGGCTTGTTTTTATTCCAGCTTGTCATTGTTCAAAAAAAAAGAAAGAAAACCTATGGGGCTTCCCAGATTTGCAGACTTTAATTGTGGTTGGATGAGAAGTATAWGTATTGGTTTGTACGCAATCCATTGCACATGACACAAATCACATCACACTCCAGCAGGACATGGCAGATGTATAAAGATGACCGACTGTGGCAGAGACTCGAGAGCTCGTGCAAAATGTCTCAAGCACCTGCGAGGAGGACCAGCCAACTCATGTAAACCCCCTGGCTGTACTAGAAAAACTTTTGGAATGGCTGGATTAAAAAAACAACTAATTTCAAATGTGCTGCAAGCTCTACCCACCCAAATACCATGAGCTATTGTCTTTCAAAAACTCATTGTATTTGCAAAAGCACATTGAAGTAAATGGACTGTACTTGCATAGCACTTTTCTATCCATCCAGGACACTCAGAGCTCTTCACACTACAATCTGTGTCCTCATTTACCCATTCACACAGCACTCTATTAGGTCTCTACAAAGCTAACATGTACACTCACCGGCCACTTTATTAGGTACACCACGCTAGTAACGGGTTGGACCCCCTTTTGCCTTCAGAACTGCCTCAATTC